TGAACAGCCCTCGACAGCATGGAAATACATGTGCAGCATGACCTGAATGTTCTGCACGTTAACCCTCAACCTCTTTTCCGTCTCACCCATCCATAGTCCCCATATCCTTACTCTGGTTTTTTCCTTCAACCCCTCTGTATCTTACCTGAAATTCACTCACAGTCCCCATATCTTTACCCCTTGTCTTTTACCACCACACATTCTGCACACTACTCAATATTCAATGCTCCCTGCCGTTCATCGTTTGTTTCATCCCGCCATTACGCCTAGCCGCTGGGAAGGCCAATCTATCAGGCCTGAAGGTCGGTCACTCGATATCACCTTAGTATTTGTTGTGGTCATCTCGCTCTACTTACAGTCATCAGCGGCAAAAATCTCAAAGTTCCTTCCAAGCGTATTCCCGCAGGCATTTACACATTCATCTGTGTCGATCCCAGGAGGCCCTGGAAATCAATCATCGGAGTCCTATCATCAGACGAATCTGTATTGCGGGGCGAGACCGTGACCCTGTAAAGTCCCATGTAAACTTTTGGACGCGATTTGAGGACTGATCTTCTATTTGTAGAACGCTCGACGCATCACCCAAATTATCACTGGTCATGTGTGCATCCTTTGAGCTTGGTCTAATGCTAGGCAATGGGGAAGTCATTGGAAAACTAGAAATGTCATGGGATGAGCTGTTTGATCGTGGAAATGAGCCCTTTGGTGAGTAACGTGCTTCCCATTCATGCACATCTACTAGCATCTCGCAGTTCTGTCCTTCCCACGCGTTCGTGGTGTTCGCCCTTCCCTCACGTAAGGCCACTGTTTTACAGGCTTGCAACAATCGGGACGGTGTATCGTCTGGTGTGAGTCACGCCGGCCTTTGCCTTTGTTGTTGTTGTTGGCTTTTGCTGACCAAATGTTAACTGCAGTTCATTGTCGACTGCGTGATTGCTCGAAACACAGATGCAGGTCACGCACGACTCACCGAATATGTGACACGCAAATTGAAGTGGGTCTCTTACCTGAACAATGCTGTAAAGCATTTTCAGTTAGTTCTGGACCAGTGCCAAGTCGGCTATCCGGACTACGCAGCAGCTCTCACTAACCTCGCATGGGCCCACCTTCAAAGCTACATTCGAAACAATCTTCATGATATCGACTCTATCACTTCTCTCTTCCACAGGGTCACCACGACCATCTATTATCTATCTATCACCTCACCGAAGCACTGACCTGGTGCTACGGCAAGGAGCATACTGTCGTCTATATCCACGAGTCCATGCAACTGTTCTGCAAGCTATTGCCCCTCTGTCCAGAGGGCAGCTACTTTCGTAGCATCGTGGTAGGAGCAAATGGCGTCGATTATGTGATCCGCGAATGCAACAACCTTCGACGAGTCGTGCTCGAGCTCTGTCCTCTGGGCAACAAACGACGCCCCAGAGCCCTCCATGAGCTTGCACAGGCAGTAGAACAACGCTTCCAACAACACGGTAGCATTGATGATCTAGATGAGTGCATACAATGTCGTCGTGAAGCCGTTTCTCTGTGCTGCGAGGGACATTCTGAACGTGACATTTACCTGAACAACTTAGCCTCGCCGCTTAGTCACCGCTTTGATCACCAAGGCACCTCATATGACCTCAACGAGACCATCTCTTTGTACGAAGAAGTGCTGCTCCTGTGCCCTGTTGGGCATAAATATCGTGATTTCTCATTGAACAACAAAGGAGCCGTGCTCCTCACCCGTTTCAATCAGTGCAATGATGTTAACGACATCACCAGAGCCATCAGCCCCCAGCGCGAGGCACTGATGTTGCGCCCGCTCGGGAATCCATATTATGATTCCACGCTCAACAACCTTGCCCTCGCGCTCAAAACCAGATATAACAAATTGGATGCCAGCGATGATCTCAACGAGGCCATCGACCTGTACCGGGGTTCACTTCGGTTAACGCGGCATGGCGATACACTTCGCCATACAATTCTTCCCAATTTGAGCGCAATGCTCTGTTCTCGCTTCACACACACCCGGAAGAACGGAGATATCGAGAAGGCCATTCGACTCTGCCAAGAGCCGCTGGAGGATTTACCTTCACTGCACCCAGGCAGATATTTCAGCTACCGGTGGCTGCATGAAGCCTATTTGTCTCGTTACCGAGCGCAACGCAACCTCGCTGATTTGTCGCTTGCTGTAGAGAGCTTCAGACTGCCATCGAGACACCCTACTCAGGGCTTTCCATACTGCAAAGCCCGGAAGTGAGTCGCTGCAGCAGAGGAGCATGGTCATATATCTGCATTGGAGGCCTACAACACATGTTTTGACCTTCTTGACGGTCATTTGGCAACACGATCATCGACAATTTCACGGCGCGAAGCTGCCCCTGCCTTCAGCGGTGCTAGATCACTGCCTATGAATGCAGCCTCATGTACCATACGTCGTGACGATCTGCGACAGGCAGCTGAACTCGTGGAGCAAGGCCGTGACCAGCGGTGGTCGCAGGCCTCTCGACTCGGGACTCCGCTGGAAGATCTGAAGCTTGCAAGTCCGGAACTAGCTCGCAGGCTCTTGGATATCAACAAGCACCTGTCTAATGCTCAGGGTTCCGCCGGCAGCGCTGACCGAGCTGCTGCCGATCGAGCAGCAGTACAGTACATGAGACTTCAGGAGCAGTGGGGAGCGGTGGTAGCTGAAATTCGTAATCTTCAAGACTTCTCGCGGTTCCTGCTCTAGACAGATGATGAAGACACGTGTGACTCCGTCCTTCGCTGCAATCGGACAAAGTTCACCGGGCGCGGGACAAGGCAAAGCGCTCTTGACTATCGATATCGAGCTTGAACTCGTCCACAAGCTCGTCCTCAAGGCGGCCAAACTCGCCACACTCTCCGGTGACAACGCCACGCGAGCAAGTGCACTCGACGCTTTGCAACGCAACACCTGGGTGCACCTCACTTGTCATGGGATCATGGGAAGCAGGACCGCGAACAGCCTTACTATTCACGTTTCGCATTCTTGTCGGCGTGTCATACTGCTGTTGGCGATGAGGAGACACCCGACGAAGTCATTCACCTCGCAGCTGGACTCCAATTTTCCGGGTTCAAGAGCGTCATTGGCACGCTGTGGGTGGTCGACGACGCCGTCGCAAAACACGTTGTCGAAGCTTTCTACGAAAATATGTTCAAGGATTCTGAGGATAGTGGTGTGATGGACTGTACGAAGGCGGCCTGGGCACTCAACCGGGCTACAAACGCCGTGAGGTCGAAAGTGCCGCTCGAGCAGAGGATAGTTTTCATTCATATTGGTGTGTAGTTCTACTATGTTGTATTGCTGTCGTCTGCTTTGGTTTTACGAGTCATTGACCATGGATTCTATACCCTCACTGTATATCAAGCTGTTGTAGATATTACCCTGATGCTCTTGTGGTGTAGTTATCTTGCTCTCGCATATACCTGTCTCGCACAAGTTGTTGTCTATAGTTAACTCCTTGCCTCACAACTTTTTCAAATACATCTGCACCTCAACGCAGCCTCGACTAAACACACTCAGTGCAGTAACATCAAGATAGAGGCACAGCTCATCCACCGACTCCCCCGCGCAGACATGCTCACCGACCGAAGTCGGGGACTTATTCGATACCCTACCAGATGTGTTTTCCAACAAAAAGCAGGATGAGTGATTAGACATTGGGTACCGAGCAATTCTGTCGGCGAACAGCAAGGATATGGGAAGTTCCTAGTAAATAGCATTGCCGCGTCGTAGAACGACCAGCGCAAGATTTCTGTCTAGAGGTATTATAACATATCACAGGTGTCGTCAGAAACCAACGTGTCTCGTATAGCTTAGATCAATCATATCTTGCCAAGAAGCAAGTTCTTTATCATCTCCCGGCCCGTGATGCGAACGGTGTGGTATAACGTCGGAACATCTAGGGTAGATGTGAAAGTGTCCGCAAGACCAAAGGGCATCATCAATGGGATCCAGCCTTCAAAAAAAAATTAAACCAAATTGAGACAAAACGACAAGGTCATCCTGGAATACTACGTACCCCGAGCATACTCAAGCGCGAAGCACCCTTCATGCATCTTATATTGCTTCGCAGTACCCCTCGGGAGGAAATGCACGTCCCCAGGGCCGTACCTCTCCATTTCTAATGCGCCTGGCCCGAACGCCCACTGCTCGCCGACTAAAATATGGAAGTAGTCATCTGCCGTATGTAACCCTGTGTGTCCTTCTGTGCCTAGAGGGGTACCGAAAATGATGAGGTACTCAGTAATGGACGCGTGGATGATGTACATTGCGCCCATTGCGCCTCCAGCGTTGCTGAATACCCACTCAGAGGCGTTCACGTTAAGGGAGATGGCAGGGGAGTCGAGTTGTGGGTATGTAGAGGTGAGGTTGGCGAGAATGTGGGTGATCATGCCTTGGGGGTCATTCGGTGAGATGGAGATGGCTTCTTGGGCAAGCTCGTGGAGGAACTTGGGCTCTAGGACATACCACCGATCCTGTAGTCGAAGTCACTTCATGCGGTAGAAGAGTTGGAGTAGTGACTAACCTTGATACCATCAAGCCAGGTAAATGTTGCACCGAGGAGCAGCAATGCAACTATGCGTGTCATCCACTTCGTGAAGTTGTTTTGCGGCTTTGGTGGGAGGTGCTCTGGAGCTGCGTCCGCGCTTTCTGATCGTATCTTTCCCATTGCGAATTCTGTGTTATTCTGACCTTTCCTTGCGACCTGGGACAGAATGAGAAATGATCTGGAAGTTGCAACAGCAACAACTGCGGTGGACGACGTGGACTAGATGGGTCTTTTAAGCCCAGACTTTTCAGTGGTACGATGCGCGGCACGTGACTGCCACGAAAATCAGACGCGCCGCTACGAGGAACAAGTCCCGCGTATTAGGAGAACAGGATCAACGAGATGCTATTCCAGAGTGAGAAAATGATATAGAAGACCGAGTACTATAAAAAAAAATACAAATACATCCTAAACTGAACAACGAAAATAAATCGAATAAGATTATACTTCCTGGCTCTCCTTCTTGCCCTTTGCACTTTTACTGGGCAGAAGTTCAGGGTTGATGAAGGGGACGACACCACCCTGTGAAATGACGACGTCTCCAAGGAGCTTGTTCAGCCTATGGAACAAGCGAGTTAGACACTGCAGAATGACTGAGAAATCTTTGCGTACTCTTCGTCATTTCGGATGGCGAGTTGTAAATGTCTAGGAACGATACGCTGCTTCTTGTTGTCGCGGGCTGCATTACCGGCGAGTTCCAGGATCTCAGCAGCCAGGTACTCTAGTACCGCTGCAAGGTAGACTTTCAACCAAGTTAGAACAAACGCCTGAGGGATTGTTTTAGTGATGAACTTACCAGGTGCACCAGCACCAACACGTTGTGCGTAGTTGCCCTTCTTCAAGAGACGGTGAACACGACCGACAGGGAATTGAAGACCGGCTTTGGCTGAACGCGATTGAGACTTGGATGAAGATTCACCGGAGGCCTTGCCACCAGACTTGGCCTTTCCACCGACTTTGCCAGACATGATAGATTGATTGAAGAGTGTTGTGGGAGTGTATGTACAGAGTACGATAACGACGACGACGACGAAGGACGGGAATGAAATAGGGGAGGCGCGATCAATGGCCGCTTGTATTTATACTGTCCACACGTGATTTTATAAAATAAGGTTCAGCAATCAACAAAGGATTGTGGACGCGTTGATCGGGTACCAAATAAGACCATACGCGTCACAAACCATAAATACAAACGCCCAACGAGTCTGGTTATCATTCACACTACCCCACAACCTCTTCATCTCCCACTTCATCAAATGGCACCTAAACCAGTCTCAACCGCCTCAAAGGCCCCTGCTTCCACTGCTGCCTCAAAGGCACCTGCAAAGACCACCGACAAGGCCAAGAAGGCTACCAAGACTTCTGCCGCTGCTGCTGCGGGGGCTGATGGTGAGAAGAAGAAGCGTCGTAAAGTTCGCAAGGAGACCTACTCCAGTTACATCTACAAGGGTATGTCCATTGACATCTCTTACTGTTCCAGGTCTGACTTTGGTCCCAGTGTTGAGGCAGGTACACCCTGATACCGGTATCTCCAACAAGGCCATGGCCATCCTCAACTCGTTTGTCAACGACATTTTCGAGCGCATTGCAACTGAAGCATCCAGTATGTGCTTTCTGATCATCCAATCGATCATTCCTGACCTCTTCCCTTCAGAACTTGCTGCTTACTCCAAAAAATCGACAATATCTTCCCGGGAGATCCAAACATCTGTACGACTTATTCTACCTGGTGAACTTGCCAAGCACGCCATCTCGGAAGGCACAAAGAGTGTCACCAAGGTCAGATTTTTCACCTTCATGTCGTCTCTACCTCTCACTCATCTGTTGCATCTACAGTTCTCGAGCTCATCAGCGAAGTAGGCTTATCCTTGATTGTTCTACTACTGTTGTCTCGTTGGACAGCATGGGCTGTTGTATTTTAGGTGTATCATTTACATTATTTTAATCTACTCTTTTCGATCGGGAACCTGCTGAGTGCATGAACCTCAAACAATGAGTACCACGCTTCACGGCGGGCGTCACTAGCACTAACCACCGATGTACAATACATGCTTGGTGACAGTGTTGTCCAAGATCACAGTCAGATAACGTAAGAATCATAATGCATTGGCATGATTCATTAGGGGGACGTTGGACGCCAAGCTTTATATGGCTCAACTTGAAGACACTCAGATCCGAGTCATCTATAGCCATCTTACTCGATGATGGCACATCAACTCACGTCTGCGGGCTCGCAGTGAGCTCTTGGGCAACAGTGCAATGATTAGCGCGCGTGCACGGGCCCAAACCCATCCTGCCCAATTTTGCTCCCTCAGTAGTGATCGGTGAGTCTCTTTATCAGTATCTTGCATACTAGTCACGTCCCTCATGAAAGTCAATCAGATCTATTGAACAAGGCCGACATCAAAGCTGCCTTTTAACTTGCTTTTGGCTTGGGCACGAAGTTGTCATTACACCGTTCGTTCGGTTCCCTCGACAATGGGCACGTTAATCCCCGCTATTGCAAAATATGACCCCACCTTCGGTTCATGATCCGGAGGCCATACTCGGATGACAAGGTTCATTTACTACTTGAGCTTCCCTGCACCTGCAGGTAGATACTTCGCGGTTCATCACAATCTCATATTCGGTTTGTTGAACGGCAATATGCACCCCTGTGTGTCAACAGACGTAAAATGTGATCAACGCGGCTTACGGTCCCCCCATACCCCGATGCCGACCAGGCACATTTTCTCCCTAAATGACAGGCTTCATGGCAGGGAGAACACCTCGTGCTGGTTCTGGTCTCGGATTGAACGACTTATCTAGCAGTTATGAACTTCGTTTCTATCCGGACCATCTGATGAGCCAGGTTCAAGGCAGCCTAACCTCTGATGGATAGTAGCAGGTTATTCGCTCCCGATTATCCACCCATCCCTCATCCAGGTATAAATGGCCTAGGAATTTTCGCTCTCAATCCATTCTCAAGAACTGTAGCACCATGGCAGATGCCTCTGTATCCCTACTAGCAAACCACCGCTTCAACGAGTCGGCGACTAGCCATGATGTTCCCGCACAAGACCCCAGCCACGGTGCAGGTCTCAATGATGATATCCCCGAAGAGTATGTCCTCGCACTTTATATCGGCTCACCGTGCTCACCACACATCTACAGGGACCTTGTCAATCGTCTCATTCGGGACAACCAAGACCTTTGGAACCAGTTGCTTCAGAACGATTTTGTCCAGAACATGCGTATTGCAAGCGCAGACAACCAGCCCGTTCTCGATGGTTTCAAATGGTATATGATCGTACGTTACTTGATACCTGTCGATGCTTCAAGCCGAAGTTCATCACTCTGTACATGCAGCAAGACTTCTTCTACTGCGTGCAACTCATAGCATACAATGCCGATCGCGCAGCAAAAGCCCCCAACCCAACGATATACGGGAAATTGACCAAAACTCTCAACAACACGCTCACGCAGTGGGCTCCTAACGCCCTCCAAACTTGCACCGATGCCGATAAGCTGAACATTCCAGACACAGTCGTCTTCGCTGCCAAGCGTGAAGAGGCGACTGAAAGGTACACAAAGTTCATCTCTGACACTGCAGAGGATGAGAACTGGGTCGTCTCTCTACTCGCTCAAGTCCCTGGCATTCAGGTTCGTAAGGGATATCTTGTATGAGGTCAATTTATACCAGTCGCTGACTCAACCGTTAGTCGTACTATGCGATCGCTCGTGACCTCCAACAGACTGCTCTCTACCAAGGTCAGTAACATCCTCCAGCAGTGCGCAAGCAACTGATCTGACTATGCTTCTAGACACTGCATGGTACAGACTCTGGGTCGTCGACAACGCTAAGCACTACAAGTCCACAACCGAACAAATCAGTGAGGGATCGATGCGCAATGTAACTCTATTCAACCATTAACGTTGTCTCTTTATAGATTTCTTCAAGAATAACTACGAGAGCTGGAGGGATATTCCTTACGAGAAGTTGGCCAGGATCTTCAGGAGGGCGTGTCAAAGCGAGATCGATCTGTGGAATGTAGCGCTGAACCCTGGTCCCGTAGCATGAAGGACAGGGACTCAAAGACGCGGACAAAGTATGTATCAGTATCAAATCGGAATGTACCAGACGCGTCAATGTCAAAATATTAGTCTGTGTCGACGCAAGATCAACTTGTGCTAAGACCGATGCATACATTGAGGTTATTATAATGATGGGTCTTGATTACACACACGATACATGTGTGATGAGAATGAGCGCATTTCAGTACAGGTTCTGACAAATAATTGAGATGGATATAACTTTCAGAACGTATAACTTAGAGGGTTAGACTTACTAGTGGTCGGAAGGTGCTTGAGCACCGTGATATTCCTTTTCTTTGAGGTTTGTCCGACGAAGGACCACCGCCAAGTTCATAGAATCGGAAAGCTTAGGCAGTGGGTGTTCAACAGTGGTAGTAACACAATCAACTTGCAAAGGTTGGCTTCGCCAGATCAGATGAGATTGTGACTCAAGAGTGGATTAAGAGATTGAGAGTGATGAACAAGAATAACTTACGGCGGATAAACAGCAAACAAGCTTGATGGAATCAACACCTACAGCATATGGATGGTGTTTAAATTCTCGGCATCGCATTCTTGTTGAATCACCTTCTCGAACGCCCATAAATTATGGATGATGACCGGATAACTTTTCAAGGAAAAGCTGAAGCTGTCGCAAGGCATAAAAGTGAATTCCTTTTCATGGTCAGACTATCGCATATTTTCGCACAATAACTAGTAGGCCTAGTTAAGGCCGACCTCCGAGGATGTATGCACTGCAAAAATATCGTCAGCAGGTTTCGAACCAACTGCGAGAGAAACAGATGTTGACTCTGTTGTGGTAACCACTTGGCTAAGACCAGTTAGATGGACATCCGAGAAACCATCCATGAATCAATATCAAGGTGTGTTCCGATAGAAAAAGACCTGTGATTCAGCAGGTTTCGAACCTGCACAATCGAAGATAAACAGATTTTGATTCTGTTGCAGGAACTACTTGCTAAGATCAGTTGAGATGAACATCCAACGAAACCATCCATGAGTGAATGTCCAAGTATGTTCCGATAAACCTTGCTGTCGGCAGGTTTGACAGATTTCGATTTCGATTCTGTTGTGGAAACCACCTGGCTTATAAGACCAATTAAGATGGACCTTCAAGGAAACCATCCATGAGTGAATCTCCAAGGCATGTTCCGATAGCAAAAGAAACCTTGTCCATCGGCAAGTTTCGAACCTGCACGGGCAGTCAGATTTAGATTCTGTTGTGGTAGCCACTTAGTTAAGACTAGTTAGATGAACCCCCGACGAAACCATCTGCAAGTGAATGTCAAGGTGTGTTGCGATGGAAAAAGAACCTGTTGATCGGCAAGTTTCGAACTTGCACAGGCCAAGAGAAACAGATTTCGATTCTGTTGTGGTAACCACTTGGTTAAGACTAGTTAGATGAACCCCCGACGAAACCATCTACAAATGAATGTCAAGGTGTGTTCCGATGGAAAAAGAACGTGTTGATCGGCAAGTTTCGAACCTGCACAGCCCAAGAGAAACAGATTTCGATTCTGTTGTGGTAACCACTTAGTTAAGACCAGTTAGATGCACCTCCGACGAAACCATCCACGAGTGAATGTCAAGGTGTGTTGCGATGGAAAAAGAACTTGCACAGGCCAAGAGAAACAGATTTCGATTCTGTTGTGGTAACCGCTTAGTTAAGACCAGTTAGATGAACTTCCGACGAAACCATCTACAAGTGAATGTCAAGGTATGTTCCGATGGAAAAACAACCTGGTGATCGGCAAGTTTCGAACTTGCACAGTCCAAAGGAAACAGATTTCGATTCTGTTGTAGCAACCACTTAGTTAAGGCCTGTTAGATGGACATCCGACAAAACTATCCATGAGTGAATGTCAAGGTGTGTTCCAAGAGCAAGAAAAAACTTGTCGGCAGGTTTCGAACTTGCACAGTCCAGATTTCGATTCTGTTGTGGTAAGCACTTGGGCCAGTACGCTTCAGAGGTTGAGATCGTTTAATAACATGGATAAAAAAGGCTAGACGAGAATGACTCACGTAGTAGAGACTTGGGAAAGAAAAGCACAAAACGACGCGGATGAATGAAAACCTACTTCAGCGGGATCGTCGTCGCTCGAAGTCCGGTTGTGCTTCTCCACTGTCTTCATCTTGAACGAAGTTAAGCCTTCGACTCCGAGCAGTGCAGCCCAAGTGTCAACGGTTCCTGGACAACCGCTACAGCGACAAAGGCCAGAATTCACCTCTGCACAATGGCATCCCGATCTGGTCCACTCACATCTACTGACACCCGGAATGGTATACCAGATGAGATTTAACTGCGAGCTGGGCATGAGCGTCCACGCAGGTATAGTGAGCGGGAACGGGTTGAAGTCACATAGGATTAGTAGTCATTTGCCAACGCAAAATGAAATTAAAGGACTAATTTGACACAAGACATGCATTGCCAGGAATAAGCGAGTCGGTGACTGACGCAGTGGCGCCTAGTTATCAATTCTCACGGATCCTACAGCCACAATTATGGGCTGATGTTGACCATGTAGCACTTGTAGTAAGTACATGGTAATAGTACAAAGTAAATGAATTAGCAAACGATATCAACAATCAAGAAAATATAGGTATGCACAGATGTTCCAGTAGATATGATGCTAAAGATGTACTACAATGCAAAAACAAATGAAACCCAGGTTGCCCCGACCTGCTACCTACAAATAAATGAGAATCCCGCAGTACAAGTTGATTCAGCTCTGCCTCTTCCCGTTGCTAGTCTGAATCTGGCCGATGAGTTAGGCCCACCCTTCGGGGTACATTGCCCCCTTCTGTTGTTGTAAACCGATTTGGTTGGGGTGACACCGTCCGCCGCGCTTCCCTGTGCCCGCGGTCGCTGTCAATATGTTGTCCCTCCTGCACCGATTTGGGCGCAGGAGAAACCATCCTTGCGCAAGGCGAGGAGCCCCTCGACTGGCTCTCTCCCTCCTGCTCACTCGAATGAAATTCGCTTCCCTCTTTAAATATCTCTTTCGCGATGCTACAGACGGGCGGGAAATAACCTGTATCATCATCTGGTTTACCCTGCGGAGGGAAATAATCGCCCCTAGAGTTCGGGAGATGGCCGTGATTGTGCCACTGCTCGTCTGCGTGCACAGGGGCTCCCGGAGCTGGGTTTATCCACGGTGCCTGCGGCCAAAAAGCACCAGGCGTCATCGTCACGCCGGGCGTCATCGGCACCCCACCAGGCGTCAACGGCACCATCGTCACTGATGGCGGGTGTCCGGTTGATATGGGCACCATGACCCCAGGTGAAAGAATTCCAGGGGAGAACATGTGCGAAGGCAGGTGCGACGAGTACGGGACTTGGGAGTGCGGCGGAAGGTGGTATGGGGATGATGGCGGGGGGGCCTCTGTTCGGCCTTCCGTTGCCTGATCCTGGTAACTCCTATCATTTGAGCTCTGCTGCTCTGTGGCATTAGTGCGCCCGTTTGTTGGCTGCAAGAATGTAAATGGCGGCATGCTTGGAGTGATGGGAGGTAAGCCGTGTGGCGTTATGACACCATAGTGCATATGGTAAGGGGAATGGAGCGGGCTTATTGCGGGGTGATGTATAGGGCTGCGCACACCTGGATGATGCAATGGGCTCATGGGATGAGATGGCGGGTAGCCAGCGTGATACATTGGACTCTGTGGGTGGGGCGGAAGGTATGGGGACAGCATCGGTGGATGCGGGAGTGTAAATGTACATGGAGGAGGGAGCGCAATAGGTCCAGGTTGTCGGCGGGAGGATGTCTGCGATGGCTTCTGCGGCACTGTTTGCTTCTGCGGAGATGGAGATGTAGACTTCGGACTTGCTGAAAATGATTTGTTTTTCTCTGCAGCCTTGGAAGCCAGCACCTTGGACCTTCGCAAACTCAGAGATCCAAGTGCTGTCGCGGTGACGTCGGTGTTTCCTGACCCCTCAAACTTGGCTGGCGTGGATCCTTGGCTTGGTTCGACCTCTGAAACACCCCACATAGATTGAGACTTGTTCGACAAGTCTGAATTGAGGATCGAATGCGCAAGCACAGCAGATTTAGGGGAGGTCTGCCGGGGGCTCGATATACTTGGCCATCCCCCGCTCGCCGGAGGGGACGTTGACGCGGTATCACTGCCTACGTCCGACTTAGGATGAGTCAGTGTCTGCCGTAGGGAAAATGTCGAACTCGAACTCGAGCCCGAGTTCTCCCGCGACGTGCCCATACTGACAGGATGGCCCACAGACCCCTGCCCCTCTTGCTCACTATCAAAGAATGGCTCGTTCAATAGCGAGCTTGCACTGAATGTAGGGCGCCGTGCAGAACCGCCGCTAAAGGACGGGCGCTGAGACGTGGAGCTAAAGGTGGGGCGTTGGGATGTTGAAGAGCTGAACGACGGTCGCTGGGATTGCGAAGCACCAAACGAGAGCCGCTGCGAGAAGTTCGTGCCATCAGTTAATGATGATGCTGTACTAAAGCTTGGTCGTGATGACCCTGATGAAGTCGATGTGGGATAGCTTTGCGCTTGCGAAGAGCCCGCAGAGACACTTGGACGCTGCGAGCTGGAGCTCGATGTCCGTGATTTATTTGATGATAGCAGATGCATATCGCTCCCGAGCTTCATGTCTGTGTTTAGCTTCAAGCTGAGGGAATCAGCAACACCCGAATGTGGGGGCAACTTGGCGGTAAGCGCGTCGGTACCCAGAGATAGGCTGAGGGGGACGAAGTTTGTCGAGCTATTGTTTGAGAATCCTAGATGAGGTGAACTTGTCAACGAATGCGGATGGGTGGGTGTAGGTGCTAGTGAATGGACTGCTGACGGCGCAAGCGACTGAGTGTGCAGAAGTGCAGGTGAGGGAGAAGTGAGGGAGGCGGAGGTAAGGGGACTTGAACCGAGAGAAGGGTCGGAGGATCGAGAACCTGACTGCGTGACTGAGCGAGTTAACAGGACTTCCAGCTGAGATGATGTTATGGGATCTAGATCAGCACGTCTAAGCGGATCCAACTGTGGGTACATTAAAGAATCCAGTTGCGGGTGTAACAAGCCATCGAGTTTGAGCTGAGATAGATGTTCGTTTTGTTGACGTCCCAACTGATGGGACTCCAGTTGTAGGGATTGTAAGTGAGATGCAAGAGCATACTGTGATAGAGTGGATGGGGCTGGTACTTGTGCGCCAACAAGAGGTACCGGAGCTGCAGACGGCGAGAATTTATCGTAGTGGACCTTCAATGGCCGTCCATTGAATTCATACCTGGAATAGATCATAATCACAAACAATCAGTACATGAGGCAGAATTGATTAACAGAACACGAAAGCATAGAAGGGTTCCTATCGAGTGTAGTGCCACTACACAGCGAAAATATTTTATGGTCAAAATGTGAACAAGAGAGGGATGTGCACATAAACCCGGAAGGCGCATCGTACGTCATGAAGAAGGCAGCAACGCACCCATCAAACATCCTACGCGCGCGCTCGGCACCGTCTTCCGTAAGGAAGCTGACTGTTCCGAACCCGCGAGAGCGCCCATCAGGCCCGACGGTAACATCTGCTCGAGCAACAGCGCCAGCGGCACGAAATAAATCCTTCAAATCTTGCCATTGGATATGGAAGGGAAGCTGAAGTGGAAGAAAGGTGAATAAATAGACACTTGTGGCACCGCAAGCAAAAGATGAGCCAAGAAAGAGATGGTAATGGTAGAAGGTCACTTGTACAAAGTCGAATCTCACATGATGATCGGGGGAAGTATCGATGAAAGAGGAAAAAGTAATGAGGGAAGAAGATTGACAGACTCACGTTACCCACAAAGAGGGATATTCATTCCAGTGCCACCTACAACATCCTGTCCAAACGTGTTTTCATCATATAGTTTGCCTGAAGATGAAAATCCTGAGGGGTGGCCATTTGCGCCTCTGATTGCGAGGCTGGCACCCATTTCATCGACACTTGCGCCAAGCCTGTCGGGGCGCACCTCCGGACTCTGGTCTGCCAGCAATATCCATTCAACATGTCAATTGCCCTTCCCGCATCCTCCGCAGTAGCCAGAAGGACAGTGCCATAACCTCGTGAGCGATTGTCAGGACCTAGTGATACGTCAGCACGTAAGACAGTGCCTGCGCGACGAAAAAGATCCTTGAGGTCCTGCCAACGGACTCGATACGGGAGCTGGAATATACGGTCAGAGCTGATTAGGATTCAGGAGGGTCTACAGACGTCCATACATTGCCAACGAACAACTGAGCGCGGGTATCTCGTAGGGGTGCTAGCTGGCGGGAATCCTGGGAATTGGTAGATGATGTGGCCATTTGGATGACAGCCTCAATGTCATCATTTGTGGGACCCGGGAACTCAGAGGGATGTGTCAAATGAGGAGGCGAAAAATCCTGTTGGGATAGGTGAAGGGGAGAAAGAGATAAAAAAGGCATTAGGACCTGGAAGAGAAAAAGTAGGTGGATGAACGCACAGAAAGAGGCGGGGCTGAGGCCATCTGGAGCGGAAGGCGCTAGTACGGCTTGAAGGGTATCGTTGGCTTGGGTTTATTTATTTTAGGGTATGGGCTTCGCGATGCGTCGCGGCTTTATCGCCCGCGTAAACGCGTCGGTTGCTACAAATTGATGGTGCTGAAGTGTTTTGCCAGGTTAGTGAGTATACCGGAGGGACGGTAAGAGAAACAGCGAGCTCGACCTGCGAGAAGATCTGAAAAGTAGGGTATTGTAAATTAGGAACAAGAACAACCTAAGGTTTCTGACTTGAGCTTGTGCGCTTGGATCTGTTTCGTTCATTTTACAGATGGCTCCACACGAACAAAAACAGGGTACTCTCAGCGCCACTAGCCCTACGTCATTCTCCTTTTCTGGAAACTGCGTTTCCTCCTCCACGCATGTGACAGTTCCTCCTCGTACGTAGGCAGTCGTACAGTGACCGGATACACGCGGAGTCCAATTTCTCACGGGTACCAGGGATGTCATGGGGCCCCGGGTCTGTAGTGATGTCATGGAGGGAGCCTAGGAAAAAACACGCAGTGGTTCGCTCCACTTTATTTATTTTCATTCGCAGGTGCCAACCCATGGCTGAACATCCTCACTGTCCAAAAGCTATGCATGTTTAACATTCCGAAAAGATTTATTATCGACAGTGACATCTGAGTCGCTGTTGACTGTAGGCTGTTGTCAATTTGTAGGCGATATCAGGAAGGCGAATTTTGCCGAAATTGAAGGCAGCGGCTGATCTAATTAGGCGTGTGGAATGTGGAGAACCTTTATGTGAGTAAATGGGTCTATAATATCTATAATAATTGTCCTTAATCTGATTGGTATCGGATCTACATCTCCCCTGCGGCCTGTAATGTATCTGAAGCCTCGAGGAAAGGCTGACGGACCGAGTAATGGTGGGGGTTTTGTATTACCATAGTAAATATGTGATTGAGTTCGAACGATTGTCGTTCGCACCCGGTGGACTCGACGTGCCTAGTTTTATTTGGTGAGCTAGGTGGTCGGCTAATTTTTATATATTTGTCCTCTGGCCCGAGCAGTCCCCATATTTAGGGTATGAATATTATGAAGCTCTTGTAATTAAATATGGTGACTATTGACACCCGAAATTTATGTATATGTTTTCATTAACCCGCCCAGTAGCTGTATCTCCCTGGACCCCGATGTTCTCCAGAACACTTTTTGAGATCCGCCCTGGAGTAAGTTTCATTCAATTGGATATTACCTACTCACTTATCTTTTATCATAGCATTGGTTCATGGAGTAGTCTTCCGTTGGTTTCTTCCAGGCTATGGAAGACTGTAGCAAGATTTGTGACGGATCTTCTCAAGCCTGCTACCAGTTCCCCTCACTGGCATTCCAACCTCATCAATGAACGACAACTTGATACGAGATCTAGCAACAAAACACAGTTGCCGCGCATGGCGCGTGGTACCAAAATGCGCCTAAGAAATGTTTTGTGTTGCACGTAACCTTGTGAGGAGGAAACATTAGTCACTATTTACGGTGAAACGTCACCGAGTACTGGCAGCCCTGACTCGAGAGGAGCTTGCCATGCCACTCTTACCTATAAGATAACTAAACGGAATTCTCCAGGAAGATCGATCAGCTGAATTTGCCAAGTCCATCATATGTCATGGGCCAGCCGTAACTGTTTTCCGATTTTATCCAACAAACCTGCCAATGGTTGATCATCGATCTAGGGACCAATAAGAAGCTGTTATTCTAAAAACCCGGTCGCGTCATCGGTGGCGAGGCAAGTGCCACAAGGCAGCCTTCGACTAGGGACACGTCGAAAGCGTGACCACAACTTGTATAAATTTAGTATTGTTGAATTCAAAAGGTGCTCACTGACCCGAAGACCGTCCTGACAATCTATTCACAGAACACCAAGTATTACAGCTTCTTTATGTAAACATTTAAGGGTTCCACATCTTGCCCTTGACAAACTCTAATAAGAGCGTATCATCCATTCTCTTCAGATCCGTCGAGTTGTCCACGCCCTAAAAATGGGTTATAAACTTGACTGCTTTCGAGGATCATACGATAACTAGACATACCGCCTTCTGCGCTGCCCGTATCACCTTGACAGCGATGTGTGCACTGATCTCCCTGATGCGCTCGATACGGGGGTACACGAGCTCTAGTGCCCGTTCATCCCATGAAAGAGAGCCCGCTAATCCGAGCGCAGACGCTTGTACCATACTATCCGTCACGTTCTTGGCGCGGCACAGTATCGCACCCAAACCAAGCCCTGAGATCCAGCAGTCAGCTCAGATACAATTATAAAACGAGAGAGAGAACCTACCGGGAAAGATGTACATATTATTACCCTGGCCAGGTTCCCTCCTGACACCACCAATGACCTCGCTTCCAAATGGTGAGCCACTTGCGAAGATTGCGGTGCCATTGCTATGTGTGAGAGCCTC